CTAACAAATATAACTAGTTTTGTTTATTATACAGAATTTGTATAATTATGTTAGTAAAATTTAAATTAGTCCTAAAAATAAAATAAATTTATTTCCAATTTTAATAATAGGTATTGATTTTTCCAATATTTTATTGAAGTGCTTTTCCCTGTAAATATAACCGTTCAGAATTTATTAATATGATCATAGATTAAATACAGCCATATATTATGTAGGTACTATAATTACTTTATGAATCATAATATAACTATATTGACTAAAACTTAATGTCATTCAATATGATTTATTGCAGTTTGCAAACGATATTTTTTATACTCAATATAGGTATTTGGCAAGTAATCTTTCTCATTGTATTAAAAAAAACGATGAGGATTATAGTATATTAATATATTATTTGCTTATGATAACATTTTTATTTTTATTACTTAATTTAATGGCAATATAGCATATTTGATATTATTATAATCTATGGTTAGTCAACATTCTTGTATAATAGTAGTAGATAATATGGGCATTAACAATATATTATACAATTATAAGGCATGCAGTTATGTCACAGATAAAATATTTTCAAAATAAATATAAATTATGTTCACCCATAATTTGCCGAAGTAGGTGTAATAATTATTTATTTTATATTTAAATACAATTATAATATATTGTACCTACTATAGTTATTAATTAGGTTAGGTTAGGTTAGGTACTATAGTTATTAATTTCGGAATTGTTCTTTTGAGTTTTAACTTATAAGTTATAACTCATAAAAAATAGGAGTTATTATGCTATTTTAAGATGTTATTATATAGTACAGTTTAAATGCTATGTCATCAGATTTATAATATTTAATTAAAAATATTATGTCAATTATTGTAACAATAATTATAATTAAATTCATCTATTTTTCATGTTGCAATACTGATGTAGGTAGTGATGTAAAATATGATTATTATCTTTGAAGGTAAAACATATTTATTTAAAATTGTTGATAGTTTCCATATTGACTATTTAAGATCTGAAATATAAAGCAATATTGTTCGAAAATAAGTAAGCTACATTTATACCGTGTGGACAATTAGTCTTATTTCGCTTATAATTCAACATTGGATAGTGGAGAGTATTAGAGTGATATTCAGTATTATGATACATTTTAAAAATATGAAAAACTATTCTGAATCTGTACTTGTTTTAAATTTAAGATTTTTAAAATATTTTTCGTTACACTGAACTAAACTATCGACTACTGAGAACATTGGCAATTCTCAGGGTTGGATTTCTTATATTGGGAACTCACGCTTGATTCCTTGATTATAGCTGAAAATGTTATAGGTATCGCCGTACTGCTAATTTATAATTTCTATTTTCTAAACTCTAAGGCAAAAACATAACATAACTTATTTTTTTTCATTGTCTTAACAATTCAGTCTTGTAAAAAATACTTTTGTAAAGTATTAAGATACTCAAATACTAGTATTCAAATAAAAAAGTATTATAAAATACTTTTAAAATAATATTATAAAATGTATTTACGAATACTCACAAAGTATTTGAATACAAATACAAGTATTTTTTTTAATTTTATGCTACCTTCATAGGGCCGGATTTAGGGGGGATAGGCCGGGCCTCCACTGAATGGTTTTTTTTTGCATCCAAGTATATAACATAATATACCATTTTCAAATAGCTTTAAATCACAACTTGAATAATAATGATATTTATTCCATGTTAGTTCAATGTATTTTTAATAAATTTAATTTAATAATTCGACGATTTTCAATCAAGGGGGCTGCTGTCCGTGTAAAAAAGTGGTATTTAGACTAAAAATGTAGACAAAACCATAGTAATTTGGTTTGACGGATTTCAATTTTGAAAACGGATTAGGATTGATTAACAAGATTACCTACTAGGTTTTTTATCGAGGTGATTTTTAATATCCCGAAAATTGTTAGTGTCACGATTAAAAATATAAATAAAAAATATCTTTTTTTATTTTTATTGATAGCATAGCTGGAAAAATAGATTTTCAAAATCGCCTCGATAAAAACCCAATTATAATTTATTAATCTAATAGTTTAATAACAACTTGTTCCTCCAAGTACGTTGGTTAAGAGACCGTCACAGTATTTTAAAATCGACCGTAAAAACATGTTTTCGTATACTAGTGTTTTCGTATACCTACTAGTTCCAATAGTCTAAAGTCGTAGAAACATTGTTTTTTTACCAAATTAAACATGAGAAGTTTATCTAATAACTGTTGGAACAGATTTTTGAAATTTGTAAAAATTTTAAGTGTCTGTCGAATATAACTGACTGTCCGACTGGCAATTCTTGAATTAGTGTCGGAGTTTGATCCATTTCTATGGGCTCATTTAAAACTTTAAAAGATCATGCGAATAAAAAAAGTGGCCACACAAATTACCTTTCATCAACTACTTCTAAGGGTGGGCTCAGGGCCCCCGCATTCCTAAATCAGGCCCTGTACCTATATAATATATATTTATATATTGTACCTCAGTATAGTTACCTATTATGTTACCTATAACTTACCATAGATTTTAACAATTACTATTAACATATATATCATTTGACTATTTAGAGATAAATACATGTTCACATATTTCATTCTGCATTTCGATATACATATTTCAACTAATATTGATTAAATTTTAACGAAAAAAATAAAATAAAAAGTGGTATTAACTATTAATATGGCACTATTTTAAAATTATTAGATTTTCAGTTTTCTTAAAAAATTCCAATACAGAAATTATTATATAATTTGATATGGTATTTTTTTAATATTAAACATTGTTATCACCTACTTTTACTATACAAAAACATAATATTAGTTTTGAACGAAAACAATAGGTATTAGTTTTATTTATGTCAATTTTTTGTGAAAAACTATAAATTAAAATTAATAAAATGGACTTTATGGCATTTAATTTTTGTTAAAAATACTTTTAAAAAGTATTCAAAATACTTGAAAAATACATTCAAAAAATTGTATTTAGAATACCAAATAAATACTTCAAAAAGTATTTAAATACAAGTATTCAATACTTTACAAGACTGCCTAACATAACCTTGTAGTATGCCCATGGCCAGCACCTCCGTGTATGCAATTTAAGTTTATAACTCAAAATGCACTTACAAAGTTACAAATATAGATATAATATGGTATGTCATATTTTCCTGTAGGTAGCATACTGCACGCGTACAGTTTTTGGTAGGACGTAGCAAACTATACACAAGTACCATTAAGAGGACGTGATACCCACATGCGTTGTCTCCGTCTTGCAAATGTACAACCTAGCAAAAAACTGTTTTGCTCGGGATAGAACCACTCCCTTGGTATTTATAGTAGAGTTATCAAAACTGCACAACGTATAGGGAACAACTTTATCTGTGTCGTAGCTTTTTTTATTATTTGGATAACATATATAAAATTAAAGTTATCAGTTTGAGAGTATTTTAGGATTTTTTTTGTTTTTTTCATTTAATTAAAAAAATATTGGTAAATATTATAAAAAAAATAAAACTCTACGACACAGATAAAGTTGTTACCTATATGCGTTGTGCAATTTTGGTAATTCTACTATAAATACCAAGAGGGGGACACCGCAAAAACCGGTTTTTTGCCGTTTTACATAAATAATAAAAAAATTATGTTAATGATAAGTCAACATTTTCAGAAAAAAAATAAACTATAAAATAATTTTTTTAAATTTTACCCAACAATTTAATTAAAGATCAAAAAATAAAATAAATGTAGTTCTTGTCTTTGTGAGTATAAAAAAAACAACAGATTTATGATATATTTATTATATATCTTAGGAGATATTGCCATGGGTAAATCCTCGCGGGACATCCTGTATCATGTATGTGACATCCTACACTTGGGTGTTAATTGTAATTATATGTGTTACGTTAAAATTAATAAAAATAAAGGAAAGGTGACATTACAATTTTGTCTCGTTTCAACAAAAGCACGTGTCCACAATATGTAATACGAAATACGCGTCTCTAGAACGCGACGTAATAAGTCGTTGACATTCTTTAGTTTCTAAATATATAATATATTATATACTTAATAGTTACTAGTTAGTAGTTATTAATATCAATATCGTCATAACCCATACATAAAAGGACGATTGTGTTCTCAGTTTCTCACCCCTCAATAAGAATGCCTATAATAATAAATATTAAATCGCACGTTATAAATATATATATATATATATATATGCCTACTATTTTAAAGGATCATATTATTATTATGAACACTGTAAACACTAAATGTAAATAAACTGCAGTCAGTTCAGTTTTAAGTACTTTTCTTTGTGAATAAACATTTAAACCTTCAAAATATTGAATTAAAATATTATGATATATTGATATAGAAATTTCAAATTGTGATTCGTATTTTGGGTACAAATTATTTTGATTTTAGTGTCTAATTCTAACATTATGCGTCTTTGATTTGTTTTTTTTATTTAAAATTGTGTGAACGTGGGCATCTACTTATTATTATAATTTATTCATTGTATCTTTCCCGCAAATAAAAATAAAATCCGATTAAATAAAATGAAACAACTTGTTGTTGTATGTACGATGTACCGTTGGTATGTACCCTTGCCAATTCAATTAAGAATCTCTGTATTTTTAACTCATAGACCACACAGTTATTGGTGAGTGTGAGATGCTTTAATCTTTTTTCTATGGTGAGACGCGCTTGCAGTTTCAAAATTAAATTTTCTAATTAAATCGTTACCTACGGACTACGGGGTTTAAAACAAACACGGTTCTATTTAAATTAGTTTATGCCTTTATGGTATAAAATATAAATGTATAATACTGATTACTGATTACTGGGCATCTACTTATATTAAAAAAAAAATGTTATATCTAACTACCTATTTATAAAAAAAAAATAAAAAAAATGGAACATTTGACGTCATTCGCATATTTTTTTGGCAGATTCTTTATTTGGCTGCATTTCTTCAATGGAAGGCGTAAATGCTGAAATCATGCAATCTGGTTTGCAACGATTGTGGGCCAAGCGTCAGGGTACGATCTTAGGTCACATGCATGAAATTCGGGATGAGATATTGGACCAGGGTCAATGTGCATCATCATTTGATAACCAGGTTAGTTGATTTACGTAAAGTGTATTAATAAGTAAGTAATTATTTTTAGAATTTAGGTTTAGAATAATTTAAGTAATTGTTACGATAATACGCATGAATGAAATATTAATATATTATTTATAGGATTATAATATTTATAGAGTATTGATTCGAATTTTTGACACAACATTGTACACACATATAAATACGAATGCTTAAATGCATTGTACGTACATATTATAAGATATATATTTTATAAAAAAAATTTTTTTTTAATTTTCAAAAATTTGTAATACCTAATAATAAATTAATTTCAAATAAAGGAAATTAATACCTAGATATCTATATAATATAAATGGATTGGTATTATGGTATATCAAGTAATTGATATTGTACCTACCTATATAAAAATAGAATGTAGAATATTGTAGACAGGCATTTCAGTATTTAATTATTTATTAATATAATTTTCATATATTAACATACCTAGGTAAACAATTTTAGACTTTAATAGTTTAGTCAATGATTGCAATTTGCATTATCAATTTAAAATGTCAATGTTATTTTATCGAAGTGTCAAATGCAATAACAGAATTAAATATTAATTATTGAATGATTTGAGTACGATTTTAATAACCTTAAAGGCTTAAAGCTATCCACAGTACAACTTGTAGAATTTTTCGTTAAAAGTCAGAACTTAGAGTATAGTTATAAGTATATTCCATAATGCATTAAATTGTGTTCTATTTTTTTTTCTAAAAACAAATTATCAACTATTGAAAATTTCGACAGAATGTTAGAATATGTCTATACGTGTTTATATGACATGACTATAATATTATCTAGACTAGACTCATATCTTGGAACTAGGATATTATTATTACTATTTAATTTGTTGACATAAAATATAATATATTAATATGGGAATTATCCCACTCGATCATCGAGAATTCTCAATAACAACCAACTCTACACTCAGTGCCGCATTTAGACATTTTGCGCCCCGGTGTAAAAAAAATTGGCGCCCCCTAAACCCCGGTGAAAAAAAATTCTCTCCCCTAGGGGCCTACCCATGGAAAGTATGGGAGATAGATCCTCATTAACCTTTTAGATTTTGATCACAGAAAAGAATATTTGTTTTACAATGTGTGCTTTTTTTAAAATATTGTTTAGTAATTGCTTGATATCCTCTCTCCGCAAAGATACATTTGAATTGATGTCACTTAAACCTTGCTTATAATTCATCATATAAGTTGTTTTTTTTACATACTTAAGTAGGTCCTTCATAAACAAATAAAATAAAACTATACAAATTAATATTAACTAAAAAAATTTCAAACAGCATAATACTATAGATATATATATAATACTATAATAGGTACTATATTAAATTATATAATACTGTTATTAAAATAATTAAAACTATAACATTTTAATAATTCACAAGTAAAAAAATTTCTGACCACAAAATTTTGGCCCCCCTAAAATACCGGTGCCGGGGCAGTTGTAACCATGGCCCTCCCTAAATGCGGCCCTGTCTACACTTTCCCAGAAAATTGGCCCATACGGGGATAGTGCGATTGGTAGGTATATTTTACAATATTACGTACCTCCAGCCCCAGGTCATTAGTTGGTTGAAAACTTGAAACATCGATTGCTTATTATTTGTCATAACTCATAATATTTAGTTATCACCGTGATTCGTCTTTACTCTTTCGTACTCGTGTTTTCTACTGTGGGTCCGTGTAATGTACTAAAATGTATTACTATTATATACGGTCGGTGTCTTTTGTTATATTGACTATTTTGTCAATTTTACATTTTCACAATAATTACTATGTCTATAAAAGGAAAATTACTAGCTATTTTAATGCAAGTTGCTCTACTTCTAAACGCTGAAAAAATAAGTAGGATCGCTAATATCGTTACAGAAAATCAAGTTGTGGACTTAGCGGTAATATTTTTACCATGGCTGTTCTTTGTTTGGTTATAAATATAACGTCCAACGAAGTACTGGACGTATTAGCAAAAAAAAAAACAAAAAAATATATTTATTATTTACTAATGTCTAATATAATAAAAATATTATTACTATAATATATTTATAAAATCTGTATGGTAAATGGACATTTCCCCCTCTGATTGTTTTCGGTCTAGTAGTCCCCCCACCCCAATATATTTTTGATGTTAACATTTTCCCCCCATTTTTTTTTTTAAAGTTTATTATTGATTAATTATATTGAATTTAATAATACAATTTTATTTATTATTTTATATGAAATTATTTTTTTTTTTTTAATTTAAATTATAAAACATTTTTTTTTTCATAAATATAATAGGTTATAAATCTATTTGTTTCTATACATTGAACTACTTCAAAAATAAAAAGTAAAAAAAAAATAAGCATAAAATAAAATATAATTCAAAATTAATAAAAATAGCCAAAAATTCAGGCATAAAAATGATACATTTTGTAAAAAACATTTGATTACTAATTCTTTTGTTATTTCTAAACATTTATTTTTTAGCCTTTGTTCATAATTTTTTTTTGTTAAGACTACCAGTTTGGATATTTAACAATTTAATAATTGCTTTTGAATTTGATTCAAGTACCTAGTTCAGTTTAAAATATTTCATTTGACTGCCACTGGAGTATAATTATAGTAGAACTGTAATAATTACCTATACATTTTCTAACCCTTGCGATCTGTTTGCGACAATTTTTTGAACCGTAAACATTTAAATATTTAGTACCTAGTTGTTTTTTAAATATTTAATATATTTACTATTTAGTATTAAAAATAAGACACAACGTTGGAAATGATTTAAATCTGTGTTTATAAAATAGATTTTAATGTTCAACAATATCCTATACTAAAAAATGTACAAATTACTTGTTTCACATGTTTAATTATAAATAAAATATATTAAAATGCATAATAGTTTATAATGTTGGCAGTAATATACTTTTTTTAAACACCTATGTGCATTCAAATAATTATAGGAAACATCAATCAACTATCAAGTAAAAACAGTTAATAGATAACTATCTAACAAGATTATTAAAAATACAGTTCCTGTTTAATACAAAATAACCTAATAAATATTCTAAGGACACATTTTTAATAATAATTGAAGTGAATGTAAATTATTTAAGGTCATTAATTATAAGTATTTTTTGAATTGTATGTACTATATATATACCTGAGGCTGAGTGTAATTTTGGCTAAATGCCTAAAGTTATTGCATTTCTATAACTTTGTTTCAATTTTATGTCCACTGCTTTGGTGATAAAAATAAATTTATTAACTTTGTCCATTTGCTTACCACGTCATTGTAGAAGTAATATATTACGAGTATTTATTGTATGAGAACATAAAATATCTACATTTTTACCTTTGTCATAATATTCTGTCTATCAGTATTATATTGAAACAAATCAGTCATATTTAATATCTTGAATAATAATGTAATAGAAAAATGCAGAATTGTGTTAAAATTAAATTTGGTTTGATGAATTAGATAAAGACATTTAAGTTATGATTTTATAAAGTTGAAATAGTATCATAAATAGGTATATTATATTAAGTTATGTATAAATAATAAAATAATAAATATTTTGTTAATTTGTCATGATTGTAATGAACGTAATTTTACTTTTAGCCTACTGATGGAGAATTACTTGGGGATAGAGTGAAACCCAGAGATGAAGCTCGTTACTTGGAAAAAGTTAGTATTATTTTTTAAGTTTATATTTTATTACATTTGGTTGGTAGGTAAATTTATCTATAGATAAATTACAAATAGAAACATAAAAAACATATTTTATGATTATCATTAAAAATGCAAAATATACTTATTTTTATTTCTCAGTCAATAATAAATGCATATACCTATATTTTGATTTTCATAGAATTTAATTTTAATTTAATAAACAATAGCAACAATAAATTATTTTGAAAATTTCATTGCTAGTTTTAATTAAGCTTCGGGAAAAGCCATAAAATATCAATATATTTTATATTGTATTTGAGTAATAATAATAATTGAATGTTGAGTTAGTGAGGTTTCAATGCAGCATCCTTTTTTCAAATTCATTATAACTTATAATTTCATGTGGCTTCTCCGTACCATTATATTATTTTAAGTAAGTAGTATTTAAACAATTGTCTAGTAGTCTTTCTTTTTATTCAATAGTATACAGTTGAGTTTCTTATAGTATTCAATGTGTACATGTATTAAGGTCTATTTACGCCTCAGGCTTATTTTTTAACAAATATGAAGTTCATGAACTCCTTTTACCAGAGCCCTGTTCTTGTCAGTTCAGGGTTGGTAAGTTATTATCTCTTGGTAAGTTATTAGTATGTTAAAACAATTTTTTTCCTGTAAGTAATCATGTGATTATTATGATGCAATCTATACATAAAAACATGAATGCACACATTGAGTTGTTTCATTTTATTATTTAACTAAATAATAAAACATTATGTTATATCCTAATTATAACACTTAAAAGTTATAACCTTCAAGTATAATTACAAAAGACCAAGTGATATTTTATTTTTTTTTCTATACCTAGATTTTATTAATACCACTATTTAATAAAATTGTAAAATTAGATTACATTTTATTTCTCTATCTATTAAATATAAATATAAATTATATAATTACAATAGATTATGTAGCTTCTCAAATTGTGCATTTCATCAACAGAATTATTATGTAATTTGCTATTTTGGATTATTATTATTATAATTATTATTGTTGTTATTTATTTGGATTCAACTGTCATCGATACGGTGCCTGTTAAAAAAAAAAAAATATGTTCGCCAATGTAAATTCTGTTTACAGGACTCATCAGTTACATGCATGGTTTTTATATCCATGACGGACTCCATATTATCAGAACGAAGTTGCTTGTGAGTTTTTGTTGCGACTAAAAAAAATGAAGTATTATCATGAAATACTGACCAAGTAGCTTTACTACTTACAAAACTATTTAGAAATCTATATGATTCTAAATTACAATTTACTAGGTAGATTCGTATTAATCGTATTTGTCATCTAGTATGGCAGAAACTATTTGTATGTGAATGATTTATACTAAATATATATTTGACTTGAATATTAATATAAACACAAAACTCTCAGATTTATTTAATATCTAGATAAGCAAAAATTAAATGTTCCAAATTAAAATTTAAATAGTTGATGAAAAATAATTAAAACAAGTGATATACCTAAATATTGAGATTTTAATT